TTAGAAATTTATTAAGGGATGCAGAAGGTCCTTCCAGGTCTCTAATTTTATTTATTTATTTGTTTATTTGTGATTTAAGTGAAGGTTTACAGAGCAAATTCATTTTCCATTCAATAGCTCATGTATATTTTATTTCATGACATTGAATGCAATACCCATAATGTAACACTTCCTCCCTGTGGTTATCTTTTCCCTGTGTCCTTCTGTCCTATGCATTCTTGAGCTCTGAGCTATCTCCCTGTGCAAATGCTGCCTTTCTGATCTCCCATGATTGATCTAAGGAGTGTACCTACTTGGTATAAATGTTCACCTTATAAGCCTGTCTATTGTTTGGCAGGAAGCCATGAGAGTGAGTTCAAGTCCAGGCCTAAAGGATGGCTAGGGGTTTTACCAGTCTCTACCTGATCATTTAAGCCTGATCTTTTTTTCTGATTTTGAAAAAAGTTCACATTTTCCCACACTCTATCTAGGATTTCATATTTTGATCACCTTCTGAATGGTTGGCAGTGGTAGCCGGGCACCATCTAGTTCTTGTCTTAGGGTCATGTGGTCTGAAATTCACATTGCCCACTAGACCCTTGGACTAATTGCTTCCTGTGTCTTTGATTTTCTTCATTCTTCTTTACTCCAGACAAGGTTGTTGTTGTTGTTGTTGTTGTTGTTATTTGCCATCGAGTTGGACCCGACTCATAGCGACCCCTCCTTGCATTTCCGAGGCAGTATCACTACAGAAGTAGATTGCTCAACTTTCCTTCCAAGGAGTGGCTGGTGGGTTGAATCACCAGCCTTCTGGTTAGCAGTCAAGTGCTTTAGGCACTATGCTACCAGAGCTCCTCCACACAAGGAGGTCTCTCTCATTTAAAACAACTATTTTATGTATTCTATGGAATTCCAGAGAGGTATTAGTGTATTGATATACGATAAAGAACAAGAAGCTATTACAGGATTAGGCATGCCTGAAATTGGACTGGGCTGCCTTGTGAGATAATGAATTTCCTGTGGTTAAAGGTATTTACGACATATCAAATGGTAGGTTGCATGGTTGGTCTAGATTCTTGCTACTCAAAGTGTGGTCCTCGGGAATTGTTAAAAATGTACAATCTCAGCGTACACTCCCATTCTACTGATCAGAATCTACAATTTAACAAGATCCATGGGTCTTGTTAAATCCAATTGAACAAGACTCCTATGCACATAATGTTTGAAAAGTAGTGCTCCAGTAGGCATCCAATGAATATTAATATTATTCCTATACTTTTCTCAAAACTTATAAAATTATTTTGTGATGTAATATTTGAATGCCAGTCTAGAAGAGAAGGGGTTATGTCCATGAGCTCAACTGACCTCACATACCTACCATGAGGTCACTAAATGAATTAAATGCTACCCTAGAAAGAAAGATTGTTTATTATATAGTATAATTTACTCAAGTGAGCTGGCATATGAGTATTATTTATTTAGATAGCTTCAGTGTGTTTGTTTTACATAAAAGTAAAAGAAACCTTTTGGATTTCTAAGAATACTTGCACTAGCTCACACATTACACCCAATGTTTAACACTTAACTAAATTCCTTCATCCTTGTCCTTTTCATTTCCACTAAAACAGTATAGCTGAATCTTTCTCACTGGAAGATTTCTTTTCTGCTTGGAATAGGTGTTGGTTTTGTATCCTGCTTTCTCCCCAACCTCAAAGGGTCTGTTATAAATGGACAACTGCAGCAAAAAGAAAGACAAGTAGGTAAAGTGATGTGTAAGAATAGGAGGAGTTGGAAAGAAACCAAGAGCCCAGACTTCCAAGTCAAATCACTCAGGCAGAGAGTGGTTATTCCAGTCACACAGTTCTCATCGCCAAAGTAATGAATGAAAATTGGGAAAGATAATAAGTGACTGATGCTGCCACACCCTAGACTGACTGAGGTCTTACAATCATTAACTACTCTGCCCTGCTCCAGGGAGAAGGAAGCTGATTGAAGCAATGACAAGCGTGAAAGGCCAGAGCGCCAGGAGGTGCCCAAGCCCACTCCCATCCGCACCTGCGAGAATTGACACAAGCTTTCCTGTAGAGATCATTGTGTGTGGGTAGCCTAGTCTGGGGAAAGCGCACCCCCTTTCTACTCCTGCCAGAGCCTTCACCGGGGGCACTGGGACAACGCGAGCTTCACCAGCCCAGGAGAGGCTTCGCGGGAGTCGTGTGTATTCGCGAGCGCGTGTGCGTGAGGAGGAGAGCAAAGACGTGATTACTTCAGAATTTATTTAAGGGTTGGTGGAAACCACTGCAGCAGCTTCCAGGGGAAGCCCTTGTTCCAGAGAAAGAGGAGGTGCGGCTGCCGAGGAGGGAGGGGCGGCGGAGTAGCAGCAGCAACCCGAGGGAAGTGGGGAGAGAAGATGCTGGAGCATCCTCACTAGCTTTCAGCAGGTTGGTTCTCTCGGCCAACTGGTACAAGCATAAATGGCTTGCAAAGAGGCTGGGAGGGGGAACTGGGTGTGCGGGGCTGGCTGCTTGCCTTTCGTGAGAAGAAGCACCTCCTTTACGTGCAACAAGAGTGTAGTGCGGAAATAGCCTGAGGGCCAGAAGGGGACCTGCCCTGATTCTCATATCCCTGGGGACTCGCTTCCTTTTAGCTTTCCTGCTCCAAGCGTTTGCCGTAAACTCCACCGTGGCTCCCAGTGGAGGACTGGGTGGAGAACTTCCTTTCCAGATACTCCTCACGTCTTTTACTCACGTTTGGAGAAACACCTCTGAGTGGTGCGGACGCTAAGGAGCAGCGACGCTTGGTTAAGTTCCCGAAAGTGAACCCAAGTCCCCACGTTCCGGCTTTCCGCCCCAGGTCTCCAGCTTCACGCGGGGAGCTGCGGCTGCTCGGGCAAAGGGGCCGCTACTGCTTTAAGAGCCACCTCCCCCTCTCCTCGCTTTGAGAATGGTCTGAACCGAGCTCTGCTTCCCAAAGCGAAATTTGTAATATGCCATTTTTCCGATGGAAGCTTCTCCTTTTGGCTGCTGACGGAGGCGCTGGAAGATGCCGAGTTGCTGCCACGCCACCGAGCAGAGGCACGTTCCGGAAGGGCGCCGGGGCACGCGTGTCTCTAAGCTGCCTTTCTGCTCTCGTTGCTAGGGTAATGGTCCAGGAGTGCCGGCTGTGAGCTGCCCCTCTCTTCAAGCCGGAGACTGCGGTTGTCATTGATCAGTTGAAGAAGCAGGACCCGAAATTACAAATATTAGGTACAGAAACTGTATTTGAGTTACGTGGTTTCGCGTCCTCTTTATTTATTTATTTTTTACCACCCTCCGGCCCCACCCCGCCCCCAGGGAAGATAAGATGCAAATTCCTCTTTGCCAATTAATGTTAGGTAGCTTTTTACTTTCCACCTTAATCCTTTCTCCCATTTCTCTGCCTCCTCCCTACGTGGCTCTCGCCTGTTAGGCAGGATGAAGAATTTTAGAGTGGAAATTATGAAGTCAACTTCTTCAGGGTGGTGGTGGGGGGTGTGGCTGAGAGATAGCTGTCCAGCAGTGTGGGGTGAACTAATTCTTTGGCCATATGTAAATGCAATGGGGTAAAGAAAGTGCAAAATGCTTCCAGTATAGCTGATAATAATGTTTCCTGAGGACAGGGGAATTAAAAGAGGAATATTCACGTAATGAAATCACACAATGGCTAGGATTTCTCTTGCTGAATTATTCCTTGTGCTTTAACTGAGGTGGAGCTTAGGTCGTTCTTAAGACTCAATCTTTGCAAAAGAAACCAACTATAGAGAATAATTGCATCTTTGCCTGGTGTAGGATCTAAATGCTACTGATCTGCTTGAATAAAGTGATTCATTGATGGACCAAAAAAAAAAAAAAAAACCTTTTGTAGCTCTATCATGTCTGAATAGGTAATGCTTTTAAGACACATATTGCTAAGACATTGGGTCTTGAAAGCCCTTGGGTAATGACTCCAGTGGGAATTCAAAACTTTTATTTTGAAATCTGAGGTATTTAGAAGACAGTCAAGGTTAGGTGCTAAGAACCAGGGAAATGGTTTTCCAGATATAAATTCTTCAAGCTAAATTTAAGCTGTGAGCTAATTAAACCCACCAAATTTATTAATTTCATTCTTTCACAACAAAATTAACAATGCTTAAAACTGGTCTTATATATTAGTATATTAGTGCATAAGGCATCAATATCCAGATGAGGATAACATAGTTCATATGTATGGCTGACTTTGGAGAGGAGGTGATGAAAGGGCAAATATCATAGCAAACTGTTAGTGTGCTCCTCCCTAGTTTTTCAGAATTACATGATGCAATGCAATTTTTATACTGGAAAGGATTGTAAAATTTAAAAGTGGTATGCACTTAGACATTAAATGACCAGAGGCTTCTGGACCTTATAAGTTGCTTCATATGTCATACATTCTATAAGAAGATGTTGAACTCTTAAATTGAATATAGATTTTTAAATGCTTTTAATGCCTAAAATGTGTATTTATGAGATCATTCACTTATACTCTATTTTAAAGTGTCCAATAGTTTGAAATTTATATTGGATAAAATCTGAAGTCTAATGCAAGAAACTAAGCTAATTCATGAAACTAGCCTTATTTTTTGTGGACTTTTTTTAAAAAAAAATCTAATTTTGGTTATTAGAATTTAGATCTTGGTTGAGTGTTTATGGGAAAAAATGCAACATGTATTTACTTTATTTCCTGAGTAACTTTTGCATAGTTTAACTTTTGTTTTACTTGTATTTGGACTGTTCAGAAGTGCCCAGTAGAATTAAACATTTAGCCATGGAAGCAGAATGAGTCATGTAAAATATCCTTTCTGCAAAGATAACTGTTGGTAACTTTGTAATAGAAATAAATGCTTGAATATACAGCAGTACTTTATATTTTTACTCTGTGTTCTCAGTCAGGTATCCCACTAGATCCTTACAATGGAATAATTTAAATATATTATTATCTCTGTGGAAGAAAAAATTGATGTTCTGAAAGGTAATGTGATTTTCCTTGGTTCACGTGCCTCAAGAGGGGCACTGAACAAGGGCTCAAGTCAAGTTTTTCTGAGTATAGATTACTGGACTTTCTTAGCTCTTATACTGTTTCTCAAAATAGCATCTTCCAGATGATTAAATCAAAGATAGCCTTTTATATTGCTCTAGGACCCTAGAGTGTGTGACTTTCCAATGGTTCACTGTGATGACAAATGTTGTTAAACTAGGATAGTATATTCAGTATAGTAATATATTCAGGAGAAATATTGTACCTGGATGGAGTATTTACTAAAGTTATGTTTTCCCTTAAAATTTAAAGTTCTTCTAAGTAATATTGAATAGAGAGTAGCTAATAATTTTCCTTAAAGAGAAGATGCTTTAGAATACAGGTTTAGGTCTGTTTGAGTAACCCTCAATATTAAATCTTTCTTGTCTCTTGGCACAATTAGTAACTTTGCTACCATTTCCTCTTCAAGTATTTAGCTATAATGTTGAATATGAAGAAGGAATATATTGGCTCATAGTAATTTGGTTGTTTATAGATTCCATGCTTGGAATGAACTAATAGTTCTAAATATTCAAGTGTGTTAGAACATTTTTTTAAGTTCCAATTTCTTTTCATTTAATGTGAAGAAAATTAGTTTCACTTAGAAAGAGTCTGTTTTTACCTTTTTATGTTAGTTTTTGAATGAAAATCAAAATGAGAAAAATACAAAAATATAGTATATGTTCATCCATTAAGTGGTTAACAACAGTAGCAAATGTGTGTGTGTGTGTGTGAGAGAGAGAGAGAGAGAGAGAGAGAAAGAGAGAGAGGGAGGGAAAGAAAAGGTGTGGGTGTATGTGTGTGTCATGTATTTAAATACATTTTATGTGATTATACTCTTATTTATTTTAGAGTAAATAAGAAATTAAACCAACCAAGTTCTTACTTTCAGGTAGCTCAGTGTGCTGAATGATGGTTAATAATTCAAAGCATTATATGCAGTTATTATAAAATTAATTCTTTCCACTCATTTTTTTAAATTGTGATTTGGGTGAAAATTTACAGAGCAAATTCACTTTCCATACAGCTTTCCATACACTTTGTCTCATGACATTGAGTACAATTTACCACAATGCAACAGCTCCCCTCCTACTTCATCCCAATAGTTACCTCTTCTCTGTGTCCATCCCCCCATGCATTCCTGCCCCCTGAGCTGTCTCCCTGTGCATACACAGTCCTTCTTTCTGCTATGATTGTTCTCTCCAAGGAGTGTATCCACCTCAGGTAAATATTCAACTCAAATATGCCTGTCTTTTGTTTGGCTGGAAGCCACAGGTATGGGTTCACTTCCAGACCTGAAGGGCAGCTAGAGGCCATAGGCTCAGTGGTTCCATCAGGCTCTATTAGACCAGCACACCTGCTCCTTTTTTTTTTTTTAATGAATTTGAGTTTTGTTCCATATTGTTCTCCCATTCTATTCAGGATTTCCTGCAAAGATCTCCACTCATTTTTTTTTTTTAACTGAGTCTATCAGTCACAGATTACTTCTTTTTATCTTTCTTAAAAGTTTCTCCAAGTTTGCAGTGGGCTCTGATCAAATCATTCCCAGATAATTGAATTTCTCCCCTCTCTAATCGAGTTTATATGAAGAATCTCATAAAAGGTAATTAACTATTGAGCTGTTAAGTCTTGACATTTCATTTGAAAATATCACTTGAAATATTTTCCCCAAGGGCAGGAATATGTAGGTAGAAAAATGAATTGACCTTGAATTATAAAGCCAAAGAATGCTCCAGGATCAACAGCCAAACCAGCCTTTCTCCACATCAGCCTTCTGCCAAGCCAAGCCTTCTAATTAATAGCTTTTAGTCTAAGTACAACAATGGAAATTAAGATGGGCTTGACATTTTTAGAAAAAATGAACAAAAAAAATAAGATACAGGATAAAAAAAGAAAATGAGATAATTTCTGATCTTCAAAATGTTACATCTGTGTTGTCTATTAAGTCAAATTAATGATTTTCAAAAATGATTCTGAACAGTTCATTCATTTAATAACTGGAAGCTTGTGATTAGCAGCTGAGATGTGAAATTCCTACATTAGCTAATGTAATTTATGGCATCTGTTTTGTGGAATATTTAAAAGAGTTTGTATTGTTTGGTGGGCAACCACACAATGCAGCTAACAGAAGACATAGGAATATTAAGTGTAATTAGTAGCAAAATAATGTAAATTAATTCATGTATCTTTATCTGTTTTATAAATCTGTGTCTAATTCAGTCAACATTACTTAGCTACTCTGTGTATACTACTTTACGAGTTCAAGAATAGAGCATACAAAAGTTAAAAATGTAGAAGTTCTAAAGTCAAGATTTAAACTGGTGTGAAATGAAATAAGAAAGTAAAAGTTGGTTAAAAGAACAAAATCAAACTCACTGCCATCAAGTCAATTCCAACTCACAGTGAACCAACCCCCCTTGGGTTTCCAAGGTGGTAAATCTTTATGGAAGTAGATTACCCAGTCTTCCTTTCATTGAGTGGCTGGGGGATCTGAACCACCAACTTTCTGGTTAGCCGTCAAATGCCTTAGGCACTATGCCACCAGAGCTCCTTAAAAGTTGATGAGCAAATAAAATATATATTCTATCATTTGTGCATTTTTCTAAATGAAAGTGTGGTCATTATTTCATTCAATTACTAAAATAGCTTTTTAAAAAATATTTACTTCCTACCTGTTAAGTGCCAGACATTGTACTTGCTATTAATAATATAATAACAAATAAGAGTAAGAGAAGTATTACCTATAAGGATTTATGAACTTGTACAGGAAGATAAATAATGAATTAATAATATAATAACATTTTTATGTTTTGAATTAGTAGGATGAATCATGAAAAACATCTAGAAGGTGAAAGTAAACTGGATTTTGTAGGCAGGGAATACATAGATTGTCATAAAGAAGAGAAAGCGTGTAGGTTGGAGGTGAAAACATTTAGCTTAGAGTTGGGGTAGCAGGTAGGGGGAAAGAGACAAGCTGATGAGCCTCAAAGAATTTAGTGAGTTGAGGGCCAGGTGGCATTATTGGAAATAATTTCTTTCCTAAGATGTCCCTCCTTTTGCTTTTTTTAAGCAATGATGTGTGAAGTGATGCCCACGATTAATGAGGACACCCCAATGAGTCAAAGGGGGTCCCAGAGCAGTGGCTCGGACTCAGACTCCCATTTTGAGCAGCTGATGGTGAATATGCTAGATGAAAGGGACCGTCTGCTAGACACTCTTCGGGAGACCCAGGAAAGCCTCTCCCTTGCCCAACAAAGACTTCAGGATGTCATCTATGACAGAGATTCACTCCAAAGACAGCTCAATTCAGCCCTGCCACAGGTATGCTTCCTAACAGCTTTTTCATTTTTATTGTAATTGAAAATATGGTAAGACTTAAATAAGCTTCACTTTATCTTCATTCTCATAATTGCTTTTACACATAAGAGATCTGATAAGCTTATTTGTTCTGGTGAGAGAAATTTAAGAATAGATGAAACTTTCCCTCAAACAAGTGTTGTGATACTTTGGGGATGGAAGATATGAAAGAAACATGAGTTGCTGTCCGGTAGTTTTCTTGGAAATTGTGTTTGTGTGTTTTGATGGGGGTACAGAATCACCTGTTCATCAGCTTTTAATGAACAGAATGTGGAAATAGTTAGTTTTCTCTTTTAAAAGAGCAATTATGACATTTGGAAATACGTATTTTCCATTTTCAGTTGTGTAGTCTGTCTTTGGAAATGATAACAGTTTGACAATCTACTGTAATTATTTTTACTCATCTTTTAAAAATGCCTAAAAACTCTTTAAAAGTCTTAGAGTTATTGATGTATTACTCTCTTCCCTTAAAAGAAAAATGTGAACCAGTTTCTTTTTATTTTTAAAATATTATGGAAAGGGGAGAAAAGCCAGAAGTTCAGTCTTAATCTCACAACCTCAATATTGTTCCATCTTTCCGTCACCATTGTTTATTTAAAATAAGTTATACTAATGATGAGAGTCAATTTACTTACTTAAGAGTAGCATAATTGTGTTTATTTTAGGTTTGAGAAAAAGCATAGTATATGCATTCATTGTTTCATAATCACCCCAATAAGCTACAGTTTTCTTTTAAATCAAGTTTGACTGGCCCTCTACTTAAAAGACAGTATAGCAAGTGTTGAAGAGTTGAACTCTTTACATACAGTTATGTCTGAGTAAATATCTTTATAAATATTGAAAATTATATAATCAAAGTTGATAATATGTTAAACTCAGTTACTTTTAGCTCAACAGTATGATATTGAGATGTTTATGACCTCCCGAATGGAAAGGATCATTTAGACCCTCTGCCACATCCCCACTAGGTAATTTTGTAACCCTAAATGGGTGACTGCTGTCCCAATCCATTTTCAGTCATTTTGTCTTGTGTAGAGATGAAATAATGTTTCCAAGGACTCTCACCTGTTGATATATTGGTTTGTTCAATCGCAAAGAATATCTTGATTTCATTCAAGGATTTGAAGGCAACTTCCATATCTTCAATAAGAATTATCTTTGTCAAGCTAGACATTTCAGTCTATGCAATTGGTCTTCATAAGGTTGTTTCTAGAACCATCACTTTCACTTACTGCCCTCTAAGATTATTTGAGTTGGTTATTCTATTGTTAAAGTGAGACACCAGTACTAGTCGTACTGTTCCACATCCAAGGCTTTGAATAGAGTAATCATTTCTTTTTCTGGATAGAGTATTCCATTAAAAAAGCCTAAGCTTGTATTAAATATTTTCAGTATGTGCTAGTATAGCCGTCAATTGAAGTTTCTGAGTTGCATAATTGCTACTGTGTGTTCCCAATTTCCCCTCCAATTAGGAGCCAAGAATTAACTTCTCACTCTTCATGGAAGTTGACTCCTGGATCTTAATTGTAGGATTCTGAATGTATCCCTCTTACATCTGTCTTTTAGTATTTTATCCAAACCTGATATTATCAATTGTGATTCTAAACCTGTAAAAATATTCAAAGAATAATTCTGGTTTTATATATCTTTCCCTAACTGTGAAAAATGGGTGTTTTCATATGTAACTATATCGTATAGATGCATTTCTTCTTAAGTGTACAAGAATGAAAACATTTCAATGCTAGTGATTCAATTGTATTAAAGATCTAGATTATAATGCTACCTAAAAGGTTAAGTTTTAATTTTTAATTACATTAGTGCATAATATCTTAGCCAAATCCCTTGGGGTCAGCTGTGTTTTGGAATTCAGAATTTTCCCTATTTCTGGTATGTATTTAATGTATATTATGGAACATTCTTCCAGAAGGATTCTGGGAAGCACCCCATAATTAACCACATTCCCATTTCTAAAGATAATTCTATACATATTCCTATAGCCTGGAAAAAAAATAAAGACTATAAATAGCTTCATGCTAGTTCATGTCTGTTTTTTCTGCCAATCAAATTTGCTATACTCTTGCAAATAATATAGCAGTTTTCAGAGTGTATGGGTTTTGAAACAGTGAACTAGGAATTATGAGCCAGCACATTTAGATGGCTATCTTTTGTCTCAACCTATTCTACAAATACTTTGATGCATATTTTCGAATACCAATTTGCATTTTACTATTATAAATATTTGAGTATCCCTATCAATGCATAGGTCCGTAAAACCAAAATATAAAACCAAACTCACTGCTGATGAGTCGATTCTACTCATAGTAACCCGTCCTTGGGTGTCCGAGGTGGTATCTCTAAGGAAGTAGATTGCCCAGTCTTCCTTATGAGGGGTGGCTGGTGGGTTTGAGTCTCCAGCCTTCTAGTTATCAGTCAATGCCTTAAGCACTAGAGACAGTAATTTTACTGCAGGTTTTTTTTTTTTTTTTTTTAATAGCAAGAATGTGATAATCTTATCTGTACCTTTAGGGCTATATCTTTTCTGCAACCAGTAGGAAAATACTCTTTTCTAATTGACTCTGTCAAATCTATCTGAATATTCATAATTAATTTTTCCTACTCTGCTCTGGTGGTGTAGTGCTTAAGGCATTTGACTGCTAAGCAGAAGGCTGGTGGTTCAAACCCATCACCACTCCTCCAAAGGAAGGTTGGGCAATGTACTTCTGTAGTGACACTGCCTCGGAAACCCAAGGAGGGGTTGCTATGAGGCAGATCTGACTCCACGGCAGTAGTTGGTTGCATTGACTCTGTATAGTAGTTTTGCAGTTGACATCTATCTGGTAGGAGGAGGTGACTGACATAAACATGAGTGTTCAAGCAGAAATAAAGCATGTGAAATCCAAAATTACTACAGTAAAATAAAAACTGAAAATTATTTTACCTGACAGAATATATTTTGAAAGCAGGAAAAACTTTATGACATACCATGCTTTACATTTCCTGTGTAATATTCAGGAGCTCTGGTGGCTTAGTGCCTAAGGCATTTGACTGCTAACTAGAAGGCTGGCGGTTCAAACCCACCAGCCACTCCTCGGAAGGAAGTTTGGGCAATCTACTTCTGTAGTGAGACTGCCTCGGAAACCCAAGGAGTGTTGGAGTTGGATCCAACTCGACAGCAGTGGTTTTGGGCATGTGATATCCATTTGCCAATGACTTCAATAAAGATTGGGCTTTTCTTCAGTACTACCGTTCTTCATCATATGCCACCTCCTGAAATGGTTGACATCCACCAATTCTTTTTGGTGCAGTGAATCTGTGTATTCTTACCATCTTCTTTTTATGCTTCCTGTGTGTGATGGTTATGTTTGTGTGTCGACTTGGCTGGGTCTGGTTGAGTGGCTGGGCAGCTGGTGGTAGTATTCCCCATGATGAGACTGGCAATCAACTCCATGGTGAGATCTACCACAAGCAGCTGAGTAGCTGCTTGGGGTATGTGGTCTACATCTATAAGGAGAAGCCTTGGGAATGGTCTATAGCCTATGGCATGCTTGGACCCTGCGTGTAGCCATGTCATTGCTCAGCAGCCTACTATGCTCTGCTGACCTTGGGACATACAATGGACTTAAGTTAATGGCCTTCCATGTCATTTAGTAACATTGGGACTGTGCCTTTTTACTTGTAAACTTTAGGGCTTCTCATCCTCAGCAGCCAGCAGCTGTCTGAGTGAAGAAACACCTCTAGCTCCAGGGCGCTGGGAGCAGTAGGCAGAGCTGAACCCCAAGGTTGAGGGCCTTTCTCCCGGCCCCTAGAGTCTGGCACTTTGAACTTGGACTTAATGCCTCCAAACTGGAAGAGAAGGAACTTCTGTTTGTTAAGACCATCCCATTTGTGGTGTATTCCTGTTAGAGTGGCACTAGGTAACCAGAACACTGTGTAATTCGGTATTTAGCACTGAAGGCATTGGCCAAAAACAATGTTCCAGGAACTGACAGCATACCAATTGAGATGTTTCAACAAACAAATGCAACACTGAAAGTGCTCACTCATCTGTGCCAAAACATTTGGAAGACTGCTACCTGGCCAACAAACACATTTATGCCCATTCCAAAGAAAGGTGATCCAACAGAATGCAGAATTTATTGAACAGTATCATTACTATCACATGCAAGTAAAATTTTCCTGTAAATACTTCAAAAATGGTTGCAGCAGTACTTAGAGAACTGCCAGAAATTCAGAAGAGAACATGAAATTAGGGATGTCAGATGGATCTTGGCTGAAAGGAGAAGTTAGCATACAGGTATACTTGTGTTTTATTGACTGTGCAAAGGCACTGGATTGTGTGGCTCATAACAAATTATGGATAACATTGCAAAGAATGGGAATTACAGAACATTGTGCTCATGAGGAACCTGTACATAGACCAAGAGGCAATTATCTAATAGAATAAGTGGGTAATGTGTGGTTTAAAATCAGAAAAAGTGCGTGTCAAGGTTCTGTTCTTTCACCATATTTATTCAATCTGTATGCTAAGCAAATAATCTGAGAAATTGGGCAATATGAAGAAGAATGCAGCATCTGGAATGGAGGAAGACTCATTAACAACTGTGATTTGCAGATAACACAACCTTGCTTGCTGAAAGCAAAGAGGTCTTGAAACACTTACTGATGAAAATCAAAAACTATAGCTTTCAGTATGGATTATACATCAACATAAAGAAAACAAAAATCCTCACAACTGAACCAATAAGCAACATCATGATAAATGGGGAGAAGAATGAAGTTGTCAAGGATTTCACTCTACTTGGATTCACAATCAGTACCCATGGAAGCAGAAGTCAAGAAATCAAACTTACAGGATCAGGCAAATTTATTGCAAAAGACCTGTTTAAAGTGTTAAAAATCGAAGGTGTTACTTTGAGGCCTACAGTGTACCTGATCCAAGCCATAGTATTTTACGTTGCCTAAAA